CCTATTCTCACTCGGAATGATTTGTCTGATAGGAACGCCTTGATCCAGCGAAGGATTTTCCCTTGAATCCCGTAAGACTCGGGTTTGTGGAGCAGCGGGACGTGTGGGACCCTATCCTTCTAACCCAACCTGGTGAAAGGTCGTCGAGTCGAAAGTACTTAGCTTTTTCAAACGAGCAGGAGATCGTTCCTAACGGTTAATTTGACCTAACAAATGCATAGAGCTGTACCCGAGTGTGCTGCTCTATTCATTAATTCATGGATTGATGCACAAGAACGAGGCCTTCGCCCAAGTTTTCATGGTTGGTTTGTTCTTGTCGTCCGGCGGCTGACGTTCACCCGGAAGACACAAGTAAGAAATGTGTATCACTGCCCTTTCAGTTCTCAGTGTGGTGCATAGTATTCTGAATTGGGTTCCAGAAGTAGCGAGGAGAACCGTCGGATGGAGGTAACCCCGAATTGAGTAAAACGTTTGCTTAATGAAAAAGTGCGTTCTTAGCTTCAAAATCGTTATAACATCCTCGACGTGTGTGCCGGTTAAACGGTAATGTTGGGTTGGCCAAGCCTTGTTCAAAGAGGGCATAAGTAAAAATCAGGTCCCTTGGTAGACGAAGTTAGTCCAGGGGAAAGAGACACCACGAGAAGAGAAGCTCTTTGAAGTTCACCCATCTGAGGCCAGTAACCATTATCATCAGACACGCAAAATGCGGGTTCTTTCTTACGTGCTTTATGAGTAGACAACTTGGTTGGTATATTTAAGAAGCTATCCACGTTAGCCCCGTAGGGTATTCGGAAGTCTATGGGAGTAATAAGGGAAAGGGTGCGCCGAATCATCCGTAGAACAGCGAATGTCTTTTCAACCGACTTTACGTGGCACAGTGAGAAGGACATATCTGAAAAGAAACAGACACTTGAATCTATTCTGGCATCTGTCCTGGTGATGTCTTCTGGTTCATTCTCACCATATACGACAAAGGCTTTCTATGAGCCTCCTCCGGGGAGATATGTACGCACTTTTCGTCATTCAGAAGAAAGTGCCAGTACAATGACCACTACTTGGAGCGTTCACATCCATTTGGATGGCACTGGTATTAGGACGTCAGGACTTCAAGTCGTCCGCAAAAAGTAGACCTGGACTTGCGAGAACATTTGAAAAGATCGTTGAACTAGTTCAGAAACAGAAGTGATTCCAGAAAGTATCCTCGAGGAACTGCAATAAAGACCGGCGCAGAGAAAGAGGTTGAGCGCACTTTCACTCGGAATGTTCTGCTTGATGGGAACGTTTCGATCTAGTGTAGAATTATCCATTTCATTCCGTAAGACTAGGGAATATGGAGCCCCTGGACGCGTGGGCTCGAAAATTATGGCACGCGTCCTATGCTTGTATTGAGCTGCCCAGAAATACGAGTATGTACGCCACGCAGAAACGGTTAGGAGAAAGCCATTTTCGCCTGGAGACATCAAGTAGTTGTAAGTAAGGTGATCTAGGGTGGCTCGCTTCAGAAGGCGTTCCATCACCTTGCACGGCACATTAGTGAGGCTAGCAGACCTGCGGCGGCCAGATGATAGTTATCACCGCTATAGATTGGCGTGACAATCGCTTCCTTCCAATCAGAGAAGAGATTGCCTTCGTTAAACGACTGACAAAACGAAGTGAGTTGCTCGTGTGAACGGGGTTTCTTCAGGATCCTTGGGCGGACCTCGTCTCTGTCCTCAACGCGCTGAATGAGTCGATATTGTGGCAGATTTGACGAATGTCCTTCACCTTGAAGACCATGACGGTTAGTGGCCGTCCGTAGTTACGTCTTGACAAGAGTGTGTGACGAGGACGCTGGGGCTGAATACAGAACTGCAGAGTGTTCTCTGTAAACCTCGGATAATTGGGCTGAATATAGAACTGCATAGTGTTCGCTGTAAACCTCAGAAAATGCCGTTGGGTCACTCGTGGGTTCTCCGTTCCTGTCCCTCAAGGGGAACGCGGATGGCTTGTTTCTGCGGCGATGTCTTAAGTATTTAAACAGCACATTTCTGTTTTTTCATTGTCAGTTACCTACAACGGTCTGCGCTGGCGTCGTATTACTTGTGGGTCCAAGTTCACCCATAACGTGATACCACTTGGACATATTTTGTCGCAGAGACACTTCTCAAGGTTCTCCGTTTATATATCACCCACAATTAGGCCGCCATTAAGAAACCAGTGTGTTCTATTTGGCCTATAGAAAACCAAGAATCGCTCGAAAAACCGACTAAACTTTCTGCCAGCTCCACTTCGCCACTTAGAAGACTTTCGCGTTGACTGAAATGTTGATGCGAACATATGAAATACAAAATCGTCAGTCTATGGACAACGAAAACGTGGGAGAGGGCGACCAATTTAGAGTCGCCTGAAACTACAAACCCTTTGTCACCACTTGTACTCTGCATTCACTAACGGTCGGACTACATGTTGGTAAATGAAAGTACCATATCTAACAAGAAATGCAGCTCAAGGTGGTCACTAGTTTTCGATTTTCAGAGACCATTTTATCCCAATAAAAAGGAACCACGGTTGTAGTTATTTACTCAGGATTTGCCACATTCAGATTCCGGTTTTCATATGGCAACGAACTCTCCTTAAAGGAATATGCAAACCATGGCTTTCACCTGTTAATGGCCAGCGAAAACAACCCAACCAGTTAGCGAAAGCCTTAGGTCGTTGGAAACTCGAGGTACACTCAGCTGATGAAACATCGATCGGTTAAGTTCAAAACATATTGAGCCGAAGCTCAGCATCTGTGGAAGGAGCCCAGTCCCGGTGAAAAAGGATATCTGGTCGCAACCCTGGTGGAGATCCCTTAATACGGAAGTTAGTTTTTGTGGGCTTTCTGCCCTTCACTTTGCATACCAACTGATGGTGATTAAAGGGGATGCTGCTGCCGTCCAATCAAATGATGTAACACTGAAATTCGTCCGTTTGGAGTTGAGGATCTCCTGCTGTTTTCTGTAGGATGTACAAATATGATTCAGCGTTAATTTTGTCTAGTTGCCGGCTCACTGCCCTCTAGGTTGACGGCAAGACAGGTTTCAAAGAGGACTTTTTGTGGTGCCAACTTGGACTAGGATATAGGATTTTAACACAACGTGCCCAGAAAATCAGTTCGCCTCGGTGGATTTATGTAACTGGCAATGCCGTAAACCGCAGATGGATGAAAACTGGCCTCTCATCTGTAGAAAAAGAAAATTAAAAGATCACTTGGGATAGCCCGAAGATACTCTGCAATGCCCATGGCCTACATCGGTGAGCATAGTTGTATCTGCTTTTGACAGAACAGATGCTACACAGCATCAAAGCCCACACCTACATCCAAACAGAGAATACATCTACTCACCACTCCCAGTGGTAGACAGGAAAGTCTTGATCGCTATGCATCACCTACAGATTAGAGCTGATAGCAGTACTTCGGGGACTGGTGACTATTTCTCAAGCACACACTTTCTCTCCTGGTATTATCCAACTCATTTAATAAACACTCGATTAACCAGTTAGCTTACAAGTTCATCCCCGCCAGCCCTTACACATATGATACCCATACCACGCTTCTGCGCGCTTGTGTCGGCTTTTACTAGATCCCTTGTAATATAATACCGCATGTTAGCAAACTCAGCCCCTGGTCGCTAGTCTACTAAATGCAAATCTATCTACTTCCTACTCCATGTGATCATTTGTCATCACCCTAGTTGCAGCAGACGCCAAGTTTTTCTTTCTGTGTATATTAATACATATCCAGCTGAATCATCTCAAATGTGACTTCCGTCGCGGGCCTGTCCAAAAACTGAAGCATGTCAGGCCAATGATGGCACGTGCCAGCCATACTCAGTTTGATAGCACACCTGCAACTGTTCCATTGCTCCTCTCAAGTGTGCCCTCTTGCCCACTCGTTTCATTGTCCCTAACGGCCACAATGACATTCATTTCAACCTGTTGGACTACTCGTTCGAATTCAATCACCTCTGTGTCCCCATCCAACCTAACCCCTGCACCTGACTTCCTACGACAGTGCAACCAGTGAGTCTGCCTGTTCTCAGATTCACCATATTGGTTGAGACTAAACTTGCCATGTTCTCCCAATTCGAACTATCTCATCTCCACCTCCAATTTTGCTCGTTATGTCTCCGGCCATTTACCCAACCGCCCAAAGTCACCCATGGCCAGCAATGGTTTTCCAGTTTTAGTTCATGTCAGCCGACTGAGTCTCTGAATTAGTCGGACCTCATGCCTATTGTTCCCTACAAGTTGCAAAAGAAACATATTATTATTATTATTTAATCGAGTACCTCCCACTGTTTATGACAGTGTCCCCTTTTCGCACAATCCCCACTTCCCGCAGATCCCCATATCATACGCCAGCCTGACTGTAAACGCATGATCATGCCAGACGGTATTCCACTCACAAGTTGGAAACATACATTATTATTACATTATTACGTTTATCTCCAAGATTTATTCCCAGTTGGTTGGGTGAGACATCATCAGGCAAGATCATGATGGTACAGTCAGAATGAAGGTCCTGTAGACGTTTGTTGTGGGTGCTCTGGAATATACGAAAACGAGCATTGACACAGAAGTTGAACAAGGTCTGACACGGATCAGGTCACGACTAAACATGCACGAACTAAATGCAGTTGAAATCAGTGGAAGAGAAACCGTTATTTGTGATATCTACAGACCAGATTCTTGCATCTCAAGGATGGTTAGCAACAACACAAATGAGTAGAGGGCACAACCAACAGGATCTTCAATATGTGATGAGAAAGTGTAAACCACCGAAAATAAAAAAACCGGAACAACGAAACTGGCGAAGGAGTTTTTTAGCGCTCCGGATGCCAATTTGAAAGAAAATTAAAAAACATTTCGGGGGTAGCTGTGGCCTATACAGTTTATTTTATGGTCACTGTCACTAAAAACATAACCAAGAATTTGGAGATAGAGAAATCGTAACAGGGATAAATTGCAACTCGAACCTCAGGATGCCGGTGTACAGTGAAATATTATGAACTCGTTTGGGTCATTATTGCAGCGGAGCCAGGTGGGGAAGTTCAGTGGAGAGTCAGTGATCTTTTGTGGAGAATAAACTGAAAGTACGTCGATATGGTCAGGTCCGGGGAAAAGGTCGGGTGGTTTAAAAAAGGCTCGTCCCAGTTTCGGTGGAACGGTGAGTAATTTGTTCGTATTTGAATGTATGACTCATAAAAGTTGCGGGGCGACAATCCAAAGTACGGAGAGATTAATTAAAAGCGCAATTGGAATATTGTATGGCAGAACACTACCATCATTGCACTTTTATACTTCGATTGCTGATAACCCATCTAGCGGACATCATGTTTGACAGGATCGGATCGGAGATGTGCAACTCTTTAAACAGCGCTAGTTTGGACCAACCAAGCGCATCCACGCAGACAGAAGAAAGCTGACGGAGGGTCATGGACTATTTCGATGCAGTTAGATGTCCGTGTAGATGTAAAGTGTGGATCGGTCGTTGTGGATAATGACCACATGAGGCGTTCGCGGCAGCTTAGGCTGAAGAGCAATGCCCAGGACTGAGGAGCAAATGCTAATGCCGATTTGCAAGGAAGCCATTTACTGCAGGGAGTGTAAGCATTTCATCTGAAACAGGTTAACTGAAACGTGCTTCGGCCAATTTTACGGCAATGAACACAAAGTTTGATGCAACTCCGTCATGCCAATCAGGTCTACGAGCCGCCATTAGTTGCAGACTACGCCGGTTGTAACGTCCTCTGAGTTTGTTCAAAAGCACTACAGACACCAGTGGGTATCTGAATGACCAATCTCGGCAAACACTTCTTTCAGAAGCTCCCTGTTATTGACGTCTGCCCCAGTTTTTTAACTTACCACGTGACAAATCCATTTACTCAGAGCATCATATTTCGGTATGAGAGCGATAAAAATGAGGCTTGATTCTGGTTGCTTAGCATTTCATGTTGCCCAAAGAAAAAATCTCCTGGGTTTTGTTTTGCACCCGACCCTTCGCACGTTGTTAAGAGGAATGCGCCACTTGCATTATTTGATGTGTAAGGATTTCTTCTATCCGATTGAAAAATGTATTCAGTGAAGTTCTCTGCAAGCTCAAGTGAATATTGAACCATATAATGTGGATAACTATTGGACACTTTTGAAGAGACGGTCGTAAGTCAAGAGCGTATAAGTGGTATACATTCCCCACCGTGAAGATAGTTGTAGTTGAGTTTGAATTCAGAAGACCTAAACATATGTACATGAGTGAGTGAAGGCGGCCACGAGATTCGAATTCGTCTTTTGGTTATTACCATGAATGATGCATGTAGCCATTATATTTAACTATTTATGTGGCCTAAGTACCGCTCTGTCATAGATTAGTCACTCGCGGAACGAACAGCAGGCTATTGAGTACGACTTTTTGTACTGCCCAAATTCCAAAAAGACGTGAACGGATGTATAACTGTCGAGAAATGATTGTCATATTTATTCGTGACTTAAATTTGATACCTACACTGATATACCAGCTTGATGATTCGGACGAATAACGTTGAGACCCCAGAACACACCACACAGAGTGCATCTAAAAACCAGCCGTTTTTCCAGTTTTCGTGTAAATGGGTTTATGAACAACAATGTA